GTCTCCTGGTCGCCTGCTGCAGGCTCAGAAGAATGAAGGAGCCCATCTATCTGTCAGCCTCCATCAGGCGCCCGGAGCCGTTTCCACGGCGCAGCAACATAAACTCAGAGAAGTTGCACAATAAACGAAGCTGGGCCGCCACACTCAGCGTTACCTAACAAAGTTGTTTGTCGACAGTTTGCAGAGAAAAAGTTTCACCATCTGTAAACCAGAAATATTCATCCTGTCATTTTGTTTCTGCACAGCTGTGTTCCAGATGTGTTATCTGCACAACTGGGTCTGTGTGAAAGTGCAGGGAGATAAAGGCCGGGGTTTGTTTGTGCTGGGCGGGTTTACGGGAGGAGGATCGCCAAGTTCACCTCAGCAGAGACACAGCGGCGAACCCAAAACGTCTGAGCCAGATTCTCCACATTCCTGCTGCAGCTCAGCAGACACGAGGAAAGGATTCTCACAGCAGGAGGGGGCGGGGGGTCTGCTAATGCCTCCACAGAAGGAGGGGGGGCTACAGACAGACTCGCATTTAGCTTTTCATCATCATCATCATCATCATCATCATGTGGTGTTCTGGGCAGAGTGAGCCCCTGTCAGCCCGATCATTAAGTTTAATTTCATTTTCAGTGGTTTTAAACACATGTGCACGAGGACAGCGCGAGCAGCTGCTCGAACGAGTCTTTCCTCGCTACGGACGGCAGCCCTGGATCCTTCGACTCTGCTGTTCACGCCTTCTTTCACTTCTGCTGACGGTTTAAAGCATTTTTCAGCAGAAATGACCGAAACGCACTTTTAGACAAACGTGGAGCCGCAGAGACGGAGTTTAGCAAGTCTCCAGTCTGACTGCTGCTTACTTCAGAGAAAATATTTGCTTTTGCAGAACTTCCAGATAAGCACGTCCATGGACTAATGAGGGCCAGGCTCGGGGGCAGAACAGAGGAGGGAGGCAGCGAGGAAGAGGAGTTACGAGAAGTGGAGGTCAAGTGAGATAAAAAGCAGATGCAGGCGTGAAAACCATCTGGTGCAAACAAACGCAGCACAATGACAGCCCACAGCTTCTCCCCAGCTCAGGCTGCAGGAAATAAAAGAGCAGGACGGGTTCAGGCTCTTTGACTTAAACATAGCTGCAACCAAAAATGTAACAAAGGCTCCCAAAGTGAGCACAAGCACGCCACCTCCGTCTTCACCTCGACGACACGTTTGAGACCCATCCTGTTCGCCCTCGCTCTGCTGCTTCAGCCTTTGAGGATGAAGTCGCAGAGAGAAACCTGGTGAATGTGGTGCTGGTTTGTTTTTGGCACAGCGGCTCGCCGTCCCGCTGCAGCGTCCTCGCACACACCTGATCCTGATGCGTTATTGTCACACTCGTAAGGGTGCACGCTTGATGTCTCTGCATCATTGCTCAATCCTGAAATCCAAACAGGTTGATTCTGGATGTTTGCAGTGGGAGAAACGTCAGCTGACTGCAGGTTTCCAACCTTATAAACAGCACATTTACACAATGACTCAAACAATGGCGATGAGGTCATGACCATTAACATGTAAATTGACCACCGATCAGTGGCCATGAGTTCACAGAGAGTTGGGGAACGGCTGCAATCACAGCATGTAAGATGGTGACAGATGGACCCTTAGGCCCCTCCTCCATTCAGAGATGGTCTCCTTGACTCCGCCCTCAAACCACTGCCTTCTGATTTGTCACAGGAGCTACCGTCGTACGCAG